CCAGTTCTTAACCAAACGGAAACCACAGCGTCTGTAGAAGCAAACCCCAATAAACGGCCACCGCCATCATGCAGCAGTTGTCGAGAACGCAAAAGAAAATGCGGGCCGTCCAGCACTAACCCACAGTGCGAACGTCGCAAAAGTGCTCAACACACACCGATATCTTCATTTTTTAGTCAAACTTGATTTATCCGTACGTAATTTAGTCTACATTTTATGCAATACGCACTACACAACAAACCACAATATAATTTGTTACCACAAATATTTGATAGCAGCCAAACTTAAGATAAGTACCGTAGAGCTCACACATCGCGCTGTCGAGCTTCTTGACCATCACTACCAGTAACTACAAGTAAAATCAGCGCTCCATACAGTTCCCTACACGTTGCACTCCGTCTACTAGAGCATTGAGTCCAGATTGCAATGTCATAGTCGCCTTTTCGTCTTGAGGACAATGCTTCACGGTGTCTACAAGCAGACACATGGCTTACAGCTTCGTTGCATGAGCACTACAGTCACAGACAAGCTTTTAGTAGATTAGAAAAACGCTTATGCATACCACCTAAATAATGCTTCTTCGATCTGTTAGCACGCCGACCATGTCACCTCCATCTCGAGATTTCTTACGAGCACTCGATATTACGTACGGGATCGTTGCTGTGCTACTGAGTTTGCAGTAGCGCGCTGCTTTCGTCGATTTCCCCGTCGTTCTTCTGCAAATCAAAGTCGCCACAGTAAACAAGGGTCACGTTACGCTATACCCTCTAAATTTGGATTTTGTATCAATAGAGGGGGTGTCACCATCTTCTCATATCGGGCTGGTCGGGACAACTGTCGGGACACTTAACGGTCATAAAAGGTCTTAGACGATCACAAGTGGTGGCACTGGTCTCGGGGCAAGCCCATGAATACCGGTCAAGCCCCCCCCCCCCCCCCCCCCCCCCCCCCCCCCGTTTCCTGGCTATAGAACTGGGCAAAATTTAAAGGGCCGCCTCCGTCTTCGCCTTTCACGTAGGGCCACACTGCATCCGACCTTTCAGCACTTACACAGCCTGAAAGGCGCCCGTTCAATGCGCCTTTCAGCATTGACAACGCTTGGTATTAGCACACATGAGATTGACCACTCGTGAACGAACTACCAAAAGCTCAACAAGATCCTTGAGGCGAAAGCCACTTTGAGTACACGATTAAACTCCATTTTTCATTTTCGTGGCGCTCGTTAGCATTACTTGTCCGCTGACTTTCTACTAAAGCCGCGAACTTAAATGCTGTTTCACCTTTGGAGTTAAGCCAATAGCAGCTTTACTTTCGAAACGGTAAGTACGGTTCAAACTGCATACGTTTGATTCACTTCACGTCAATACTCACAGTCCCATGTGAATCGAGTTTCTGGGGCTAATTCAGTTCACTTAAATTTGTCCTAAACCACGGTTCACTTCTGGCTGGTTCAGGCCGTGGTAAAAGTCCCAATCAAGTTGCAAAACTGGTCGAGTACATGTTATCAACAGTATTGTCAGGGAACGACAAAGCGCACGTTTGAATCATAAGCTCTCTGATGCGCAAATTTGTATTGTACATCTCCACACTGTGCTGACGTTCAATAGAAGTTAGATGTATTATTAAATAAACAATGACTTATATCACGCTTTAGTTAACTCTTTCGCGAGCCACTTTAGTAAACTATAGTATACAAATCTAGGATAATCGGTATCAAAAGGAGGCATTTTGCCTTCTTTAAGGCGAGTGATGGACCACCTTCAAATCTTCCAAATGTGATTTGCTTGGTTTTTCTATGCCCATAACGACCTGTCGTAAACGTACTTAATTATAAAAAGAGGCATTTTGCCTCCTTTAACATGGATACATCGTCGTACTTAGTTGAAAACCAGGAAAAGGGGGCATTCTGCTTCGTTTTATCGCGAAAGGGTTAACAGCAGTATATATTAAAAAAAGAGTGCATGTTCCACACCAAATATCGTAGTGGAGTATCCAATTGTTGATACTGAATGCGAATTGGTCGATCGATGTGTACGTCCATATAAACACATCCTCAACTCTTGCACTCAACAGCCCCGGCCGGCACTGATCCTCACTTTTCAAAACGCCCTACCCCCACCGGCATCCAGCTCTGAACTACCAACACCCAGGCCTCCCGACTTGAGAATGTAAGAATAAGTACATTTTCATATTCACAAGGGAGTTATCATTCAGGGGTATCACCTATATTCTGGCATATATTGTTTTCGATGCGTGGGTACTGGAAATATCACGCACCCAGCAAATGGTTCAAGCAGGCCAAGACTGGAGGAAAGATCAACAACGAAAAAGCGGAC